CTTTACTATAGCCAGTACACGGAGGGGTACACAGACTAGCTTTACTATAGCCAGTACACGGAGGGTTACGCCGTCTAGCTTTACTATACCCAGTACACGGAGGGTTACACCGTCTAGCTTTACTATAGCCAGTACACGGAGGGTTACACCGTCTAGCTTTACTATACCCAGTACACGGAGGGGTACACAGACTAGCTTTACTATAGCCAGTACACGGAGGGTTACACCGTCTAGCTTTACTATACCAAGTACACGGAGGGGTACACAGACTAGCTTTACTATAGCCAGTACACGGAGGGTTACGCCGTCTAGCTTTACTATAGTCAGTACACGGAGGGTTACGCCGTCTAGCTTTACTATAGCCTGTACACGGAGGGTTACACCGTCTAGCTTTACTATAGCCAGTACACGGAGGGTTACACCGTCTAGCTTTACTATAGCCTGTACACGGAGGGTTACACCGTCTAGCTTTACTGTACCCAGTACACGGAGGGTTACGCCGTCTAGCTTTACTATAGCCAGTACACGGAGGGTTACACCGTCTAGCTTTACTATACCCAGTACACGGAGGGGTACACAGACTAGCTTTACTATAGCCAGTACACGGAGGGTTACGCCGTCTAGCTTTACTATACCCAGTACACGGAGGGTTACACCGTCTAGCTTTACTGTACCCAGTACACGGAGGGTTACGCCGTCTAGCTTTACTATAGCCAGTACACGGAGGGTTACACCGTCTAGCTTTACTATACCCAGTACACGGAGGGGTACACAGACTAGCTTTACTATAGCCAGTACACGGAGGGTTACGCCGTCTAGCTTTACTATACCCAGTACACGGAGGGTTACACCGTCTAGCTTTACTATAGCCAGTACACGGAGGGTTACACCGTCTAGCTTTACTATAGCCAGTACACGGAGGGGTACACAGACTAGCTTTACTATAGCCAGTACACGGAGGGTTACGCCGTCTAGCTTTACTATACCCAGTACACGGAGGGTTACACCGTCTAGCTTTACTATAGCCAGTACACGGAGGGTTACACCGTCTAGCTTTACTATACCCAGTACACGGAGGGGTACACAGACTAGCTTTACTATAGCCAGTACACGGAGGGTTACACCGTCTAGCTTTACTATACCAAGTACACGGAGGGGTACACAGACTAGCTTTACTATAGCCAGTACACGGAGGGTTACGCCGTCTAGCTTTACTATAGTCAGTACACGGAGGGTTACGCCGTCTAGCTTTACTATAGCCTGTACACGGAGGGTTACACCGTCTAGCTTTACTATAGCCAGTACACGGAGGGTTACACCGTCTAGCTTTACTATAGCCTGTACACGGAGGGTTACACCGTCTAGCTTTACTATAGCCTGTACACGGAGGGTTACACCGTCTAGCTTTACTATAGTCAGTACACGGAGGGTTACGCCGTCTAGCTTTACTATAGCCTGTACACGGAGGGTTACACCGTCTAGCTTTACTATAGCCAGTACACGGAGGGTTACACCGTCTAGCTTTACTATAGCCTGTACACGGAGGGTTACACCGTCTAGCTTTACTATAGCCTGTACACGGAGGGTTACACCGTCTAGCTTTACTATAGTCAGTACACGGAGGGTTACGCCGTCTAGCTTTACTATACCCAGTACACGGAGGGGTACACAGACTAGCTTTACTATAGCCTGTACACGGAGGGTTACGCCGTCTAGCTTTACTATAGTCAGTACACGGAGGGTTACGCCGTCTAGCTTTACTATACCCAGTACACGGAGGGTTACGCCGTCTAGCTTTACTATAGCCAGTACACGGAGGGTTACACCGTTTAGCTTTACTATAGCCTGTACACGGAGGGTTACACCGTCTAGCTTTACTATAGCCAGTACACGGAGGGTTACACCGTCTAGCTTTACTATAGCCAGTACACGGAGGGTTACACCGTCTAGCTTTACTATAGCCTGTACACGGAGGGTTACACCGTCTAGCTTTACTATAGTCAGTACACGGAGGGTTACACCGTCTAGCTTTACTATAGCCAGTACACGGAGGGTTACACCGTCTAGCTTTACTATAGTCAGTACACGGAGGGTTACACCGTCTAGCTTTACTATAGCCAGTACACGGAGGGTTACACCATCTAGCTTTACTATAGCCTGTACACGGAGGGTTACACCGTCTAGCTTTACTATAGCCTGTACACGGAGGGTTACACCGTCTAGCTTTACTATAGCCAGTACACGGAGGGTTACACCGTCTAGCTTTACTATAGCCTGTACACGGAGGGTTACACCGTCTAGCTTTACTATAGCCTGTACACGGAGGGTTACACCGTCTAGCTTTACTATAGCCAGTACACGGAGGGTTACACCGTCCAGCTTTACTATAGCCAGTACACGGAGGGTTACAGAGTCTAGCTTTACTATAGACCGTGCACGAAGAGTTCGACAGAGAGTTACACTGTAAAACTTTACTACAGCCATGCACAAGCATGAGTGTCTGAATGAGTTCGGTTTAACGCCGCTTGGAACAGTATGTATCTCAGACGTTGGTTTGGGTTTGGTTTGTTGTTTAACGCCGCACTCAGCTATATTCAGCTACATGACGGCGATCTGTAAATAACTCTTAAACGTTATCACGCACAGAGAGGAAGGCCAGTGCATGATTTTCAAAGTACATTGTTAAGTACTAACACTTAACGTTAATACACCCTTATAATAAAACCGCACCTTGACCCGCAGTGTAAGTAGGCCACTACGATATACGACACCAGCTTCTATGTGGGTCGTTGAAGAGGCTATGGGTGAGGGGGGAGACTGGTTTAGGAGGTCGTGATTATAGAACATTGTTGTGTGAGGATTGGGCTGGACACTGGGATGTACGACACAGACTTATACAACGGGTCCAGAAGCCAGGAAACGCTTAACTTGACCCTGGAATTGCAGCCTGTGTTGTTTCGTAACAACTCCATCGTTGCCTGAGCTAGGTTTTCAAATATTTGTGTTAGAGAAACATTGTTAGAGAAACTGTAAGCTTGTACTGGTATGACTGCACCTAAACACAGGAAGACTAAAATCCAGTTCACTCAGCTTTGGTTCAGCCAAGGTCAATATGTACATACATATCGAATATGCCGCGTAAATTTGATAATTCATACTTAAATGAATTAACGATGTTTCATAACGAACATGAATTCTTTATCTGGCAAGCCTAACTCACACTTACATTTATCGTTATGGCACTGATTTGCTCTGCTTGGTTTCCTCATCCGTAAATATGTTGCGTACATCACAATTTGTCAGTGACAGGATCATTTGCTCCATGACATTCGATATCGGGAGAAAGGGGTTTTGACAGTTGGACACTGTTTCCTTATGACTGTTCGACACTGTTTCCTTATGACTGTTGGACATAGTTTTCTTATGACTGTTGGACATTGTTTCCTTATGACGGTTGGACAATGTTTCCTTTATGACAGTTGGACGTTGTTACCTTATGACAGTTGGACAATGTTTCCTTTATGACAGTTGGACATTGTTTCCTTCTGACGGCAGATGGACATTGTTTCCTTATGACGACAGATGGACAGTTTCCTTATGACAGTTGGACATTGTTTCCTTATGACAGTTGGACATTGTTTCCTTGTGACAGTTGGACATTGTTTCCTTATGACAGTTGGACAATGTTTCCTTATGACGACAGATGGACATTGTTTCCTTATGATGACAGTTGGCAATTGTTTCCTTATGATGAAAGATGGACAGTTTCCTTATGACAGTTGGATATTGTTTCCTTACGACGACAGTTGGACATTGTTTTCTTATGGCCAAAATGGACATTGTTTCCTTATGACAGTTGGACATTGTTTTCTTATGGCCAAAATGGACATTGTTTCCTTATGACAGTTGGACATTGTTTCCTCATGACAGTTGGATATTGTTTATGACAGTTGGACATTGTTTCCTTGTGACAGTTGGACAATGTTTCCTTATGACGACAGATGGACATTGATTCCTTATACCAGTTGGACATTGTTTCCTTGTGACAGTTGGACAATGTTTCCTTATGACGACAGATGGACACTGTTTCCTTATGACAGTTGGCAATTGTTTCCTTATGATGACAGTTGGATATTGTTTCCTTATGAAAGTTGGACATTGTTTCCTTGCGACGACAGTTGGACATTGTTTTCTTATGGCCAAAATGGACATTGTTTCCTTATTACAGTTGGACATTGTTTTCTTGTGACAGTTGGATATTGTTTCCTTATGACAGTTGGATATTGTTTCTTATGACAGTTGGACATTGTTTCCTTGTGACAGATGGACAGTTTCCTTATGACAGTTGTATATTGTTTCCTTATGACAGATGGACAGTTTCCTTATGACAGTTGTATATTGTTTCTTATGACAGTTGGACATTGTTTCCTTGTGACAGTTGGGCAATGTTTCCTTATGACGACAGATGGACATTGATTCCTTAAGACAGTTGGACAATGTTTCCTTATGACAGTTGGATATTGTTTCCTTATGACAGATGGACATTGTTTCCTTATGACAGTTGTATATTGTTTCCTTATGACAGTTGGACATTGTTTTATGACCATAATGGACATTGTTTCCTTGTGACAGTTGGACATTGTTTCCTTATGACAGTAGGACATTGTTTCCTTATTTCTTTGTGACATTGCTTCCTTGTAAGTTATACTTCAACATGGGGAATTATTTCCATGCGGCAGTATGGCACTGAGGACATAATAAAAACAAGACATGCATTGTCATAATATAAGTTTGTTTTGAGGAAAGGTGTTGTTTACTTCCTCATAAAACTAAGACATTGTATCCATATGTTACTTCTTCCTTGTGGCTGTAGGACATCATTTCCCTGTGCCAGTGGTTAGTCTCTATGTGCTATATCGGCATGTTCATCGTGACACTGTTTCCTTTCCTTCTCCAATGGCTACAGTGAGGCAAGACTTAAACAAGACAAGCACAGCATCTATGGCTGTTGAATGTTTATTTCATCTCCATCACATGACAATTCCAGCAACCTTCAAACAAATGTAGCAGTTTGTGATTATGCCAAGCATGTTGCAAACATAACTGATATGCATATAAATAAAGAGCCAAAGCTAACAATATCTATTTCGATTGGCAAGTAGCTATTATCAGAATAGTGCTGTTGACACATTCGATACAAATGAGTCACTCTGTCCTGCTAAATACACCTGTTATCTACATGTGCAAGAACCACTCGTATACCATGTTGTTCATGTTATCATTTCAATATCAATATGTCCTAAACGTGGAGAACTCACCTCACTATGACCCTCATAAACAAGAGACAATTACCATGTCACTGTGCCACTTATTTACACTGAAGTATCTTTGATTGTAAGGGACCGGTCATATATTTCATAATATATATCATTAATATTGGCGAGTCCCCTCTTTCGCTGTCATTTTTCCATGACCCTTCCCCCTTAATTTCTCTCACACATACCTAAAATAAATGCCCAGTCCCTATAAATAAGACCTGATAAAATATGAAAATGTTAAATAAAAATATTTATGTATCTATTCATCATGTAATCCCACTCAAATAAAAAAAACATCAAAATATATGTAAGGATGTAAGGACATAAATCCTGTTCTTTGCGACATGGAACACAAAATTTGTGAAATCAAATCCTTCAATAAAAATTGTAAGAACATTTCTATATTTCAGGGTTTTTTCAACTCTGACATGAAATTTGTGTGATTTTGGACTTTGCCCCTTAAAACTATGACTATGGAACTTGTTCTTTTAAATCATGACTAAATAAAAAAAATACAACACATTTTAAAATACAAGGTGTGAGAAATGCTTGATTTGATTGATGGCAAATTCGTTTTGTTACTGGGTTGCAAGATCGTTTACAAATATTTTGTATTCTCGTGTTTCTTTATTCGGGTCAGGGGTGACAAAATATCTGTGAAAATGATTTTAGTTGTTGCTTTTTACCCCTTTTTCTCAGCACTTTGGGTTGGCACAACCGTAAACCAGCTAAAAAAAACACCTGATGATGAAATATGGCTTGATAGCATTTGTTTTAATTCTTCTACATCAAAGTGAGTGAGTGAGTGAGTTGGGTTTAAGATGGCTTTTAACAGAATTTCTGTTATATCTTGCCATGTCAGCTTAATATTGGAGGAAAGCCCGAAGTGATACAGGTCTCAGACGTTAACCACTTTGGTGAAACCCACAAGCACAGGTATGGTGCTGACAAACCTAGAAACATAATCGAGGGAACCGGGATTCGAACCCGCAATCATAAGTTTCTGGCATGCCCAAGGGAAGCAACTCTGCACAGCGAATCGCAGCGCCTTAGACGACTGGGCCACCCATGCCCCCTTCTATATCATAGTGTGCCAATGTACAAAACTAATATCAAATACAGTGAAACCCTTAATGAGTATCATAGCATTCCCAATAGTCCAGGGCCCACTTGAACAAAACGATCTTAGCGCTAAGACTATAGTAAGCCTATGTTCAAGTATGGGAGTTACGATCATCTTAGCACTAAGATCGCTTTCTGCAAGTGGGCCCTGATTAACAAAATTATTGTTCACAGCAACTTTGTTTTGTATACAGATAAGTGTCTCTGTTTCCAGTGTAAGTGTCTGGTGGGTTTCTGTTTGATGGGTCCGGAGTAACTTACAAACATGGCAACCACCTGTATCATTAGAGCTGTGTACAACCTATCACTTCCTTGTACAGCCTATCACTTTCTTGTACAGCCTATCACTTTCTTGTACAGCCACAGCTGTTGAATATCCTGGTGAAACTGAACCATACTGAAACCAGCAACACATTATGACAAAACCAGTGTCAAATAGCTGATTGTATGGAGAAGATAAATAAATCAAGAACAAGATCATCCTGCTGTCAAGTGCTGAGGGAGAATCTATTTCATCTTTGGTGGCGATCTTGATATTTTATTCAGCAGGGTCTGAGATATTAAAAATAATAACTTGAAAATATGACCCAAAATCTTTTTCCTTTTTGTTGAAAGAACTTTACTGGATGTCCTGATAAAAATTACTTGTGGATGCTAACATGAGTATTTGTTTTCCTGCTTTCAAAGTACAACTTGTAAACCACTGAAAGATTCCTTAAACCGCTAGTTTTGTTCTTTGTGCTTGTGGGGCTGTCTGTACGACAAATGTGAGTGAGTGAGTGAGTGAGTGAATGTGGTGGTTTAATGCCATTTTTAGCAATATTCCTGCAATACCCAGCGGTAGAAACTAACAGTTTTAGTCCACTAGTCCTTATAATGGTAACATAGCAAAACCCTTAAAAATGGTAAATTTCTAGTAGTCCTTCTGATACCTTAACTATTGGGTAGTTTCACAAGGACTGCAGGACTAGTGCTAATTTCTACCGCTGATATACCACAGCGTTACAAGATATGGGTTTCTCACACTATACCCATGTGGGAAATCGAACTCGGGTCTGACAAGCAACACTTTAACCACAAAGGTACCCATCACCCCTAAAATAACATGTAGTTTTCATTACAAACATCTATTTCTCTGAAACAGTTTATTTATGTTACAAAAACACCAAATAATTTACTTCCTACTACAAATTTGATGTTCTTGTACACTGGAAATGCACCATCTATACACAAAGACCATGACATTTTATGTACAATTCTGAAATAAAGTGAATGAACCAATGTCAGTAAATAAAACTCACTTGTCTATACAATTATATTTACAACAAATCTGGAAGATTAACACCATTCTTTCTATATAATACATGCACAATAGTTGTATCACGCCTCAGCAAATAACAGTAACAATCTCTGTATGACAATCTATCGATCCTGATCTAAGAATGAGTCAAGTTGACCAGACCCTTCCCTTCCCTAAAACCCGACTTTACTTTTCACAAATAACCAGACTTAGCAACACAAAACAATGAACAAAATAATTACATGTTTCAAAATAACAATACAAATACTTGGTACAAAATAATGAAAGTATATTGGTAAATAAAACTTATCTTTAATATAATATTTACAATGCACATGTGTTTTAGTGTCTTATTGTTATTTTTATGATCTTAATGGCAGTATTCCAGCCCCAATAAATATAGATGGTAAATAAATGTTGTTAATAAATGATACAAAAAAATGAATAAAAAAACAAAAATAACTTACCATGGGTGATAACACATAATAGACCCTTAGTTAGCACTAAAAAGCTGTGTGTAAAAATAAAACTGTAAACAATAGGGTACAATGTCACTGTGTACATTTAACGTAAGGTCAAGGGGTTCACGTCAGGACTGGAATGGCTGGATTTAACCCTGATCATTAAAGGTGCATGATCATATTTACATTTTCGTTTTCAGAAAAGATGAATATTTTACCTACAAATCTGTTTTTCTTTGCCAGCAAAGTATGTTTTAGTAAACAATACGCACTCACCCATTATTCTTTGTTCACTGCAGAGTGAGTGAGTGAGTATGTTTGTTTTTTTGTATTCCAGCAATATCACGGAGGGGGACTCCAGAAATGGTCTTCACACATTGTACCCATGTGGGGAATCAAGAGCATCGATCTACACAATTGAAATACGATGACATGCATCAACCAAGTCTGACCACCCAATCCCATTAATCGTCTCTTACGACAAGCATTTACATCAATCCATGGCATTAAATACAAAGGAAATCGTTTGCAATTTAATAGTTGACAATCATACTGGGATTTTCCTTTTATGCCCAATATATTCAGCTCATGAAACCTTGTAAGTTTGACCTTGCACCCTTAAATAAACTAATGGTACATAATCTTCATACATATATATTTCATCTGTATTGGAAATTGAAATTTTGGTTTTATCTCTTCTCTAAACGATACACAGCAAATCTGACTCATTACTGCTACTTTCCTAACACTTTCATGATGACATCCTCCAGAGAGACTATAACCATACCTTGTGTGCCAACAAAACAATTATAACAACATTCAGAGAAATTGTCAGTCTCTTAACATAATAGCCATCACAATACAATATAATTATCTTATAATAATACAATAATATTGGTCAGGATGGTAGTGTGTCAAAAAGCAAAGTGTTTTGAGGAGACTAACAGGCAGAGATAACTATTGCCGTACACATCAGTATGGGCAGGATAACATACACAATTATCTTGTATTCACACCTCACACACATGCCTACACACACACATATGTACCCACACATACTATGTTCCCCATGTATCACATTCAGAGATCACTAATGGTGCACCCTAAGTGTTGAGTGTGCATAGTAAACAAGGCAAGGAGAGGGACCGTCTCAAAAGGTCATGGGCATGACATTTTTCGGATTGGATCAGATTCAATTCAAAATAAACATACTTGAACATTAGTATTGTTCAAAGACAACAGTCCTGTTTCACAAATCGATCTTAGAGCTACGACTGCCGTAGGTCAGTGTTAAAGAACGGGAGTTATGATCTACTTTGCGCTAAGACAGCTTTGTTGAACAGGGTCGTAACCAAAAGTATTTGTTATACACATTATCTAAGAAAATAATGTAAGTTATTATCAGAAATAATAAACAATGTCAGTGTTGTTCATACATTAAGTAAAAATAAATGTAATAATACAGTTATTTGAAAATGGGAATGAACAAAATACTTTTTTACTTTTTCTTGCTATAACAAAATGTAGAGAAAACCCTCCACAAAACATGAACAGAAATTGGTCTAGCCATATGGAAATATCCTTTGAAACATGATATATGTTAATATCTTAAGGAACAGAATTTATGGATGTCAACTTCTTTAATATGAGGAACAACGTTTCGGAGTATATGCTTACTCCTTCATCTGGTGAAGGAAACCTTGTGTTCCTCATAAGAAGTTGACTTCCATAAATTCTCTTCCTTATGTGTATCACTTCTAAATGCGTTTCAAAGACTTGTCAATATCTTATGAGACAGTCCCAACATCACATCACCCCTGTTGTTCAGACTGTATAACAACTGCATACTGAAACAATAACATTATACAAATCACTGGGAAACAGCTGTAACACAGCGGCCGGCATTTCATATATACATGGACTACTGTGTCGTGGTCACCCTAAAACAAGTGTACAAAATAGAAATTAGTAGCGGGACGATACACTGATGCATTGGTAGATCGCGATTTTTTACTTCTTAATGGAAGTATTGATCACAGTTGCACATTATGTAAAAAGTATCAATTTTTACCTTTAATAATGTTACACCAAACACTAATTACAAGGGAAAACGAGTAGTGAAAATGTAAATATTTTTATCCATTGCGCGATACTTGACACTGCCAACTGTAAATCATTAGTGTGCCAGGTATTTGGCCATCCTGTCTATGAAAAAGATGGCTTATGCAGTACAGATAAGAGCACATGTAAGTATCGTGATACGTATTGTATCAAGAGCAAGGTATCGCGATACGCATCGGATAGTTGGTGTATCGTCCCAGCCCTAATAGAAATATGCGGTTTATCTTATCATAACATTGCCTGGTAATATGTACCAGTGCAGACACCATGAGGCTTGATATGACCATAAATTACCACAGGTAGTGTCAATTACCCATCACTGATTCAAAACCAAAGTTCTACAGAACAGTAAAATAATTTTAGAAATTATTTATAGATGATATTCAAGTGTAAGATTAAACAGGTAAATTCTTCGGTAAAAATTCTCAAAAAGTATCAAAAGCATAAATATTTGAGATACTGGCCTCAGTGAAATTAACATGTCAAATTTACTTAATTCAAATCATTACATTGTGCTCATGAACCAAAGTCTTCTCACATCGAGTATTTACCATCACAGGGAATTGCCTGGCCCCCTATCAACAAGTTATCTTTGATCCAGTGAGTGTAAGTGAGGTGGGTAAAGGTCGCACATTATTTCAGTAAAATTAAGGCCTGTCAGCTTAATGTGGGAGGAAAGTCATATAAATCCACGAACACTGGCATGGAGCTAACGAACCAAGGGTCATAATGCGAATGAATTAGATCCTGTAACAGCTAAGGGATACAACTCTGCTAGCACCTATGTGTCCATATCCTTTTTAAATGGCTTGTGTATGTTTGTTACGTACAGAGTCTTAGCACATATACAAAAGGTTACAAAGGTCGCTGGGTTATTCTGCACAGCTATCCCGGGGTTATGACTATCATAAGACTCTGGTAAAGCATAGGAGATTAGAAACACAAATTGCTATGAAAAAGCATGGGATTATCTGGGTCTATATATTTTTTCAAGTCCAAGGGAACAACTTGGAGGTCCAAGACTTGCGACACGTGGCTCGGTTCCACTGATTTCCAAGAAGACTGCTTTAGCCTATCATAGATGGAGAGATCAATGTTCGATTGACAAAATTCCACCACTGAAATTCACAAGACTGAGTGTGTTTCTCACTAGGATAGAAATAGCAGCAATATGACATCAATGCTTTAATCTTTCTATAAACAATTATATAAACAAATACTAATTCTGTCCCCAATTACTCGCAACGTGAATTAATTGTGTTCAGTCTCCGTTTAAAAGTGTAATTTGTAAAGACGCAATATTTTGTGTCCTGTGAAACCCTGAACGAGTCAGAGATGTAAGTCAGTGAGGGAGTTGGGTTTTAGGGAAATATTACCAGCAGTCCAATCACATCAAGGCAAGGAACTGTGTTTTCATTGGTTGTAGGGGTCATTTGAAGCTTTTTTTTTACATATGTCCAATAAGCAAAACAGGGGTCAGGGGGCTTATAAATAACAGTGAGCCTGCTTGTATTTTGAATCTGCATCAGATGTTTGATCGTTAGACTTGCACAAGCCTCTAAGGCAATAACTATTAGTTTAAATCATAATTTCTAGCTTATGTAAATAATAAGAACAAGTTGTCCCTATAAGAGACTGGAGTCCTTGTACCGTCCACATATCTAGACTTGCCTATTAGGAAGATTGCTACACATCCATGGACTTTTCTTGCAGTACAGCCTTCGAGCAAGGCTGTTTGATAGTAAGCTAGTGCCATGTACATTGACAATATGCAGTTCAGGATCTAGAGAGTTTAACAATCTCAGATCACAGCCTGGAGAATGAGATCAATACAAACAAGTCTCTAGTACTTCAACCACAAGATCTTCAAACTTGAAAATTTCCATGAGTATTTAAAATTCAACAATTCTCCTTATTCATTAATCTGATTCATAATGCTCACGATGACTAGCTTCGGTTTTCGCGTCCTAACAATACACAAATAATCATGATGAGATGTATCCATGTTTCTGACACCATCCGTCTAGTTGTTCTCTTGGAATGACAATTATTATGAGATTCTGAAGCTAATGAGCTGCTAGGATGTCTTGATAAAACCTGTGAATGCTCCGAGATGTGGTTGAATGTTACAGGTGATGAGTGACAGAAGCGTCCCTGACATTCTGTCAGATACTATTTCCCCAGCTACTACTCTACAATACAAGTATATTCTCTGGACCTCCACTGACTGTACAGGTATCAACACTTACTAACAGTGTACCAAGCAAGATACATCAAACAATACCTTTCCATGATGCGGAACACATAAACATGACACTTTGTGGAAATAAAAACCAAGGACAATTCTGCCATTGGGGGCAAGGGAGGTAACTTTCAATCCACCAATTTTCCATAATGGTTTCTTTTGTTTGTCCATGTGATCAGTCAGAAAGCACCTCATTTCACACCATCCACTAACTCCCTCATCTACTGCAAACAAAACAAGTCACATTTTGCCCTGTAAGCATAAAATGCACGGTAAGTTCTTGTCAGAGTAGTTAAAGGGAGACAACTCCAACATATGAAATGTATCTTGAAATGACAGTGGAGAATTATCTGGGTCAACTTCTCAGATCCATTGAATGCATTTATCATGATACACAAGACTCGACAACTGTATGACAAGTTTCCACTAAAACAAGTGACAAATGCCAACAGTGTCCCTTGGAGATATATCTTGCTTAGTACGCCTCATTCTGACTTCACCCACAAATAGTAAAACCATTTTCAGCCAAACAGACATCTCCCTCTGCATGTGTAAGTATGGTAACTAGACCCCACTTGGCTATTACTTTTGATATGTACAAGATCTGGTCGAATTACTACCCAGTGAGGAGGAACATCTACCCACTGCGGAAGAACACTCTATTCAGTGAGGGAGAACGCTCTATTCAGTGAGGGAGAACTCTCTATTCAGTGAGACAGAATGCTCTACCCACTGCAGAAGAACACTCTATTCAGTGAGGGAGAACGCTCTATTCAGTGAGGGAGAACGCTCTAATCAGTGAAACAGAATGCTCTAGCCACTGCAGAAGAACGCTCTATTCAGTGAAAAGGTACGCTCTACCCAGTGAAGAAGAACATTCTACTCTGTGAAAGGAAAGCAGCACATTGGTTGAGCTGTGCAAGTACACCCTAAACAAAAACACAACAACTGGTGGCAACAGTAACAACAAACAACAACAACAACGTCGTACCAACCACCTGTCTGTATATCCATCAAGTGACTGAGTTCACCCGATGCCATCGAGAGGTGGCCCCAGTTGGAGGAGCTCCAGCATAAAACAGTTCCAACGTACAAGAGTGGCATCGCAGAATACAACCTAAATTTACACCATAAATTATGTGTTTCAATGCTCAGTCATAAACAAAGGTTGGCTTTCATGTAAACACTCAAAGTCACTGCTTGCAATACAGCCCCTGTCAAAGCGACTGTCTTATAACTGATAATCACAATATGATCCCTTTCAACATATTATATCCCAAGTACATGTCCAAGCCATTCAAACATAGATCTCCCATTGGCACTAGTTTTACCAGCCCATCTATATTGGCCAAGCACACATGCACACACCGCAGAGTCGAACATAACCCTCAAGGCTACAACTAGGAACCATCAAACCAGATGTGTAGCCAACATCATTAAAACGATCACCAGCGAATGGTTCTATCAAAACTACCCTTTCACAGCCCATCTAAACAGTTGAAGGCTAGCGTTGGTCGTCCATAAAGATGTGACATCAATTGACACTACATGTATCCTGACGTTGTTCTTGCAGTGTAGTCTGTCACTTCTTGTGAAGAAATAGTGTCGTTCTCTACACTCCACACAGTTGGAAAGCCAAGTGTCTGTATCAGTGCCTCCTAGGTTTAGTGAATATACAGATGGTCCGTTAGAAGCGGTACATCCAGCACTCACAGTCTGGAACAACATCACAAATTAAGTCCTAAGTTCCCATAACATTAATCCTGTAGCGTGAGGCCTGTCACACCATCAGCAATCCGTTTCGCCTTCTCATCGCGAAGTCTGTTGGCTACCGCGGCAACCAAGGCTGCACCCTTCCCGCTCCCGTCATGGGACAACATAAGCTTGAACTGAAACACAGTAACATTGAAGATTTCATGTGATCAAACAGTGAGTGAGTGAGTATGGTTTTACGCCGCTTTTAGCAATATTCCAGCAATATCACGGCAGGGGACACCAGAAATGGGCTTCACACATTGTACCCATGTCGGGAATCGAACCCAGGTCTTCGGCGTGACGAGCGAACGCTTTAACCACTAGGCTACCCGACCGCCCTGTGATCAAACAGTCGATACTGAAATAGAATAATTATTCTTAAAGTGTAACTTTACATGAACACCCAATGCCATTTAGAAAGTGGTCAAATGTAACAGATGTTATATTTGGGATAACTTTCTTTATAAAGTACAGATTCTCGTACTTCTTAGGGTTGAGTCCCGTCCGGGATTCAAACCCACACTGCCAGAGTGAGGCACCTATTCGCCAGCACACAAAGTCAGCGATCTAACCTACTCAGTGCAAATGAGTCCTGGACTCGAATCTGTACTCTTCAAAAAAGAACTCGAATCTGCACTCTACAAAGATATTGTTATCCCAAATATAACATTTATAACTCGTAACTTTATACTTTTAGCATCAGTCCGAAACTCTAGCCCCAAGTCCATCATGTAAATCACCTGTTGCAAAACAAGTTAACAATAAAAAGATTCAAACCTTTTTACATAAATGTCTTCAGGTAATTTCAGTGTAGAATATTGAGTGGTATTGTCTGACAACACAGCAGTCAGATGTTGTTTTTATTTATTAAATTCTTAGTAATTCCCCTATTTTTCTTGAGTTCTTAAACAGAAATAGCTATCACTACCCATGGATATTTCTAAGAGTGTAGTGTGTACACAAGCCAATGTCTGGTCTAAGGGAGACAACTCACTCTGACATCTGGAGCCAGCTTCTGTACTTTTTCCATCATGAGATCATGGAAGTGAGGGTGGAAGCGGTAGAGTGACCCGTCCACACCCACAACAACCTCGGGACGTCCCATCTTGTTCAGAAGACATGCGATACCTTTAAAAGAACGACCAAGAGATGAAAAAACAAGGATAACAAGAACTGTAGCAATAGACAAGGCAGTGAGTGGGGATGTGAAATGGGGTTTAATGTTGCATCAGGTGAAAGATTATAGCAAGTGTGAAGGAAAGGGGCTGACCGCTTGTACCAGTCAGCCCTTAGGCCAGTTTTATTGTGCTAGCCCATTGAGATACCATGCCACACTCAAACATGGATATCCCTCTCAGACACAGTATACAGACTCCAAGCCGACCAGTCTGTATTTTATCCCCTTAATGAGGAGGGTCAGGAAGGATACCAAAAAGTTCTACCTTTTACCCTCTTTTGGTATGTCGCTCCCCCAGGATCGATCCACTGACCAATCAGTAAATCCACCAGACAAGGAGGCAGTTCCAGGTAGTGAGTGAGTGAGTGTGTCAGCAGTATACCTGACATGTTCTGTTTGTTTGTTGTTTAATGCCGCACTCAGCAATATTCAAGCTATACGACAGCGATCTGTAAATAATCGAGTCTGCACCAGACAATCCGGTCACTGACATCATGAACATCGATCCACGCAATTGGGATACTATGACCATCTTCCCGAGGCAAGAGAGTTAACTGACTTTAAAAGTCCAGTTTCCACCCTTGCCGAACTAGGCTGGTATTATGGAGGTACATTTTGGCTGGACTAACAAGTCTATGTATAGTCCAATCAAAATCAAAATCCGGTTCGTAAACTGTCGTGCAGATTTCGGTCGATTGCAGGATTTGCAAAGCATGCACACCGCCAACTCGCGATGTAAGACCTGTTATATCACAATATAGATCTTGATTATCTATCAGATCATCTTGACTAGGCGCCGCCATTTTGTTTGAAATGAATGCAAGTGATGGAATCGGATTGGTCCATAGGAGATGCTTAGAAGGGACATAACTCATAATAACCATCGGTGGCGCTACGATTGAGCCCAGGAATTTCAGCCTAGTTCGGCAAGGGTTGAAACTGGACTTTATAGTCAGTTAACTCTCTTGCCTCGGGAAGATGTACTATGACATGCATCAACCAAGTCAGCGAGCCTGACGGCCCGCTCCCTTTAGTCACCTCTTACAAGCATAGTCACCTGTTATGGCAAGCATGGGTTGCTGAAGACCTATTCTACCCCAGAACTTCATGGGTACCTGACATGTAATAGCAACCAGAACACAATTAGTCCACAATGGCAAACTAGTGTTAGACAGCTTGAGCAACGATCCATCCAGCAACACACAATCAGTATTCCAGTAAACAGTATTCCAGTTATATCCCGGCGTGTCAGCTTAATGTGGGAGGAAAGCCCGAAGTGATGCAGGTCTCAGACGTTTACCACTTTGGTGAAACCCATGAGCACGGGTATGGTGCTGACAAACCTAGAAACATAATCGAGGGAACCGGGATTCGAACCCACAATCATAGGTTTCTGGCGTGCCCTCAGCGAATCGCGGCGCCTTAAATGACTGGGCCACCCGTGCACATAGACAGCTTATGGCAAGCATGGATGTTTGGCCCCAGAATCCTCATGTGTTACACACAAAGATAAAGTCTAGACTGCTTCAGATACGTACCAGCGGAGGCTAGGTATGCGGCTCTAGTAGACACTGCCTGGCAGACATACTGGGCTATGCGACAGTCATCTTCCGTGAATTCTTCAATGTTCAGCTCATCAAACACCTGCTTTGTGTTCTTGAAGCCGTCATCTACATCACTGAAATTTAAAGACAGAAGATGTATCTACAACATAGTGTTATGGACTGGAACTGACCAGAAAATGGAAAGCTCTGAGAATGATTTATTGTTTAGGTTTAGCACTATACAAGCAGAATTCTTATATTTATAATTATTGTCATTATTATTATTATCATCAAATGTCATAATAAAAACGATTCATTTAAAAATATCCAAAAACCCTATCCTTTCTCACCTCTCAATTTCAGATACATATTTTGTGTAGAAGCGCCCCCTTGTGGAGAGTTCCTCCGAGCCGCGACCTCTGAACAGTAATCCATTTTTGCGAAGTCGCTCGAGGACCAGCCGAGCTATCTCCCCCATGTACATCCCCGAGATCATCTTCTCGTATCTGCAACACATGGTTTGGGGGTAAGTGGGAATAGCATACTACTTACATCATTTACATCACTTTGTATTGGCAAAAGATTTGTGTTGTAATATACTGCTATATAGGGATCTGTATTGAGATACACACTGTGATATATTGGGGGTTTACAGTGTTTGACAATGATTGACACTGTACCTGCAGATCCTTTTTTCTACCTTCCAAAGTAAATATTACAACGTCAAAGTCAGACGCTTCCACTTGGTTGTCCGGGACACAGGAAACAACAACATAAGAGAAAAAGCACTTCCACATTTCAGCAGTTTTGCCAATCAATTTCGAAGGAAAACATAATTTGTGAATGAATTTCTGATTGAAGTCTAGGTTAAACGATATAAATAATAACGAAATCTATTATATATTTTTAACCTATACACCAGAAACTATATTCCAATACACACCGTTTGAAATGTACACTGGTAATACCAAAGGATCATATCAGTCTGCAACTTTAGTCACAAGTCAGACACCCGAGTCTAGTAAAATTCTGTTCAGTCTAGTAAGCTCATAATAACACTAAATTCTACTGAAAATGGAGACCAACATCTAGTCTCTGAAGTGAACATATCTTACAGAAAAATTTGTTTGTGTGTGTGTTAAATTATCTTAATAAAAATATAATAAAAAGGAGCCGAGAGACTCTCTTCATTTTCAGATACTGCAGTAATCTAGACTTGTTTAACATAAGTACTATGACGAGTTCCTCTGGATTTCTAATTATTAATCTGGAGTAGTGCTGCTTTATTATGTCGTTTGGTGGGAGTGGTGCTTAATTTTCAATAACAACATTTCCTTCGTCAGTGTGTGATCAAGTCCAAAGATATTGCTGGCCATATGGGCTAGCTTGCCTGAAACATTATTGGCCAGTCCAAATTCCACTAGCTTACATATGTGCCAGTTTATTTTCATCTAACATGGGTTTTCAAAGTTGTAACACAGCTTGTGACTGGTTAATCTTCAAATTTCAACCAATCAAAATGTGTTTATTATGCTCAGTCTTACATTGACCAGTCACTCAAACAATATAAAGGGGGATAACTCTGATCTTGCAACCTCACTTTGTTACACATATCAATTCATTTATTTTATTTTATGGCCGTATTGAAACGGGAGAGCATACAAATATCACCGTAAACATTTCAGCAGCCAGTGGGGCTGGGGACATTTCACTATCTTTAGCCCAACAAAAATATTGCTAGCCACAGGCTATCAGGATCACAGCTCTTTCGCACATGGGTAATAAACGTCTCTGCGCTTACAGCATACTTATGCATGGAGTACAGCGCCACATAAATGGACTATTATTACTACTACTACTACTACTACTACTACTACTACTACTACTACTACTTACATCTGTTTGCCACTATTGATGGAATACTACTACTACTACTACTACTACTACTACTACTACTACTTACATCTGTTTGCCACTATTGATGGAATACTACTACTACTACTACTACTACTACTACTACTACTACTTACATCTGTTTGCCACTATTGATGGAATACTACTACTACTACTACTACTACTACTACTACTACTTACATCTGTTTGCCACTATTGATGGAATACTACTACTACTACTACTACTACTTACATCTGTTTGCCACTATTGATGGAATGCTTGTCCACCAGACGGTCATAATCAGTCATCAGGAAATCCAGTGCACCGTCATCTCCAAATGCTCCCCATTCAGTGTTGACGATAACTTCCTTAGGGTCGTCGTAATCGGAATCCCAGAGTCCACAGTTCTCCAGCTTTTCTATGTAGCACGCATTGGTTCCAGTGCCTGAAACATACAGTCACATACAGTCACATAGTCACATTCACTCACATAGAGTCACATACATTCACATACACTCACATAGAGTCACATACACTCACATACAGTCACATTCACTCACATAGAGTCACATACATTCACTCACATACAGTCACATAGTCAAATTCACTCACATAGAGTCACATTCACTCACATAGAGTCACATACAGTCACATAGTTCCATACATTCACTCACATAGAGTCACATACATTCACTCACATACAGTCACATTCACTCACATAGTCACATACAGTCACATTCACTCACATAGTCACATACATTCACATACATTCACATACACTCACATACAGTCACATACATTCACTCACATAGTCACATTCACTCACATAGAGTCACATTCACTCACATAGAGTCACTCACATACAGTCACATACATTCACTCACATACAGTCACATACATTCACTCACATACAGTCACATACATTCACTCACATAGTCACATTCACTCACATACAGTCACATTCACTCAGAGTCACATACAGTCACATTCACTCACATACATTCACTCACATACATTCACTCACATACAGTTACATAGTCACATTCACTCACATACAGTCACATTCACTCACATACAGTCACATTCACTCACATAGTCACATACATTCACTCACATGCAGTCACATTCACTCACATAGTCACATTCACTCACATTCACTCACATAGTCACATACATTCATGCACATACAGTCACATTCACTCACATACAGTCACATTCACTCACATAGTCACATTCACTCACAGAGTCACATACACTCACATACAGTCACATACATTCACTCACATACAGTCACATTCACTCACATACAGTCACTCACATAGTCACATTCACTCACATAGTCACATTCACTCACATACAGTCACATTCACTCACATACAGTCACTCACATACAGTCACATACAGTCACATTCACTCACATACAGTCACATTCACTCACATAGAGTCACATATATTCACTCACATACATTCACTCACATACAGTCACATTCACTCACATACAGTCAAATACAGTCACATTCACTCACATACAGTCACATACATTCACTCACATACAGTCACATTCACTCACATACAGTCACATTCACTCACATACATTCACTCACATACAGTCATACAGGGATCAAACCAACCTTCCTACTCTGGGCAGACCCTCTATCGACTAGACCAATGACAACATTGCAGTAAGTATCGTGGAAATCTGAGGAAAGGGAGTTAACTGACTGTAAAAGTCAAGTTTCCACCCTTGCCGAACTTGGCTGGAATTCCAGAGTTGCATTTTGGCTGGACTAATGCGTCTATACAAAGTCCAATCAAAATTGTATAACGAACTAGACATCCCTTTCATAAACAACATGGATTTCAATGTGCAGATTTCAATCGACTGCAGGATTTGCAAAGCATCTGTACCATCAACTTGGCATCAACAGATATTTTCGAAATCTTTTAATGTTTTTAATCAAGGTGCTCAAATGATTTCCTGCACTTCACGAGTGTAGACCCGTTTTATTACAATATAGATATCGTTCATTGATCAGATCGTCTTGCCTGGGTGCCGGCATTTTGTCTGAAGCAAATCAAGTAATATGAGAGGTGGAATCTGATTGGTCAGTAGGAGGGACATAACTCGTAACAGCCACTATTGGCCTTATGATTGAGCCATGAAATTCCAGCGTCTTTCGGCAAGGTTGAAAACTGGACTTTTGTAGTCAGTTAACAGCCTTGCCTCGGTTGAGAGGCAGGACAATCAGGAGATAAACATACAGTGTTTTCAATGTACATCTAGGTTACCCTTGGTAAGCGCAGCATGAGGTTTCAAATGGTAAATATAGTAAGTAATGGCTGGATCTACAAATATAATCTTCTGCGGTGATGTGGTCATCAAATCAGCTGTTCCTATGAGAGGTGATTACTGTGATTTGAAACCTCTATCAGAGGTGGTTACTGTAATTTGAAACCTCTGAAAATCAGTCTTGAGTCATTTCCAAATTCATAGTAGAATATAATTGGTTAACCATCAACATTCTCAGGATGTATTTTGGATCATGTTTTATATATTGAATGTATTTGACATTCTGAATGTTACAGGATTTTAAACATAGTGATAGCAAAGCAAGACACTGAAAAGTAATTTATGTATTGACCATACACAAACAAAATATCACCATTAATTTTAATCAATAGCACAGCCAGTGAGTATATCAGTATTATCAACACAGAATGGTGTCAATATCACGAACACTGACCAATACATATTGTCCATCTGTGACACTAACACCCACGCCCAATCAGAAGTATTGCTTATTGTATATATACAGCGAAGTCACTGCCTCGTTCTCCCACACATCCCACAAGGCAACAGCTGATGGAGATCAATATGCCCTTGCTTACCTCCAGTATTTTTCACATTTGTAATTGTAAGCTAACCAGCAATAAATCAATTGAAAACACATGTTTACAATATCAACGTCATACAATGATGAAGTAAGTTAAAAAGGACCACAGTGTTGAATTAATGGTAATCTATTATGTACTGCTGAGTCTCATGCTCTCATAATCAATTATACTGATCAGTTAAAAAAATAGCAACAATAATATACTAAAAAAGCAAGAATTTCTATTTGACATAGCTTTCATAAGACAACACATGTTTATTTTACAGTTTACAGGTTTTTAATAAGGACTTAGTCGTGGTAGATTGAAATGAAATAATTTAATCTGACTATCGTTAACGTTTTTGCATATAACACAGAGTGGGCTTCTCTGTTTAGCAGGAGCATAAATACAAAATCTATTCATAGTGCACGATACTTACTGCAATGTTGTTTTTGCCATTTCTACCTGAGAACGTAGATTTTGCTTTTGGTGTTGGCAGTCGCCAGAGGCTATACTCAACGTTTGGTTGTATTTTTAATTTCCTAATCCAACAAATGGAATGGAGGAAAAAATAAAATACAGTTCACATATTTTATCTTCACTCTTTGCCTGTGGATTTTAGCTCAGGTAGGCTGTTTAATAACTTTACAGAAACAAGAAGCAGGTTCCAAGCAATGAAAAACAGACAAGACTTCTTCCTAAATACATACAACTAATACCGTATTCGACGTAATAAGCGCTCGGGGCGCTCTCAAAATTAGAAATAGGGGGCTCTTATTAGAATATTATTTTGGTGAAAAAAAACATAGTTGAAAGATAAATTTCGTTGTTTATGCTGACAGCCTGAAATGTTTGTGTACGACAGATATATTTTTCCAGATTTTAATTGCCCATAAATAAGGGTGCATATAACATACGTGTGCGTATTATACCGAATAAATAAGTCTTGTGTACATTGATCAATCGGAAGGGATGCAAATTGGGCTTGTTCACTAGCCAATATATCATCAAATATCGCCATGGGCGCTTATTAGAGCGGGGCGCTTATTACGTCGAATACGGTAAGCCAATCGGAGAAAATACAGACTGTCGTGTAAATGTTCTGTCAAGACCCACACTGGAAACAGACTAAGGATCTCTGAAGTGCCCCGTTAGACAACATCCAGAAATGAGACCATCCCCCTGGTACAACACAGACCCTGCTGACAAGTTCCAGGCTACTCACCAAGAATAAGACCAATTGCACAAGACCGCTCACTGTGGGCACAGGACATCAGGGCTCCCACAGTGTCGTTTATCACAGCTAGACATTCCACATCTATATCCTGCATCACAACACAAGGTACTATCAGTAAGGTGAGCTGATGGGAGGTGACGTGAAATGGGGTATAATATCGTGATCAAGATTATTGCACTTATATGACGATTTGCGTGTGGGCGTGTGTTTATACCCGTCTGGACTAAAGCCGGTTTTATAGTGCTAGCCTAATGAGACACCATGCCTCGGTTTAACATGGATACCCCACACAGACACAGTACACCGATTCCGAGCTGATCAGTCCTTGTTATATCCTCTTAATGCCATGCCATAATTCATACAACTAACTATCTACAGGGGAGGTGAGGGACTCACAAGGACAAAATGTTCATAGACACCAGTAAAGAGAGGGTCATTAGTTAGTTAGCCTTACATCGTCTACAAAAATGTTTCTTGTTTATCAACTTGTATAAAGTGTTGCATCTGTCCAAACAAAACACTCCACTCGCTGTAGTATATTATCGCAAGTTGCTACAGTCAAAATAGAAACTAGGCAATGAGATTATCAACTGAGTGTCAAAATAACATGGCTGTATTGTACTGTAGACTATTCTTATCATCAGGCTTTGGTGTCCAGATCAGATAATTGTCCTAAATTACAAATTGTAATTTGTGAAAGATGGCAGGTGTGGATACAGCATGGTACATACCCCACGTCTCTTGATGGCTTCATGGAGCAGCTGGACTATATCGTTGCCCTCCACCCCCTCACACTTGAAGCCCTTGGTCCAGGTGGTGAGAATGGCGTGGGCCAGGCCCACCTGGCGGCAGGGGAAGGAGAAGGTGAACCCCAGGGGGAGGGGCTTGTTCAGGAGCTGGTGCTCCTTCATGAACTTGAAGATGCAGTCAGCTATATGGTCAAACAGCTGAAACAGAAGGGGTATTGGATACACAGGGTGATACAGGGTGATACGAGGTATATTAATAATCACTCGTACAGTGCTTCTGGGGGATTGTACAAGGTATATCAACTTACAGTGCTGACCACTGAAGGAGTATAGGATACACAGGGTGATACGAGGTATATTAATATACACTCGTACAGTGCTTCTGGGGGACTGTACAAGGTATATCAACTTACAGTGCTGACCACTGAAGGAGTATAGGATACACAGGGTGATACGAGGTATATTAATATACACTCGTACAGTGCTTCTGGGGGACTGTACAAGGTATATCAACTTACAGTGCTGACCACTGAAGGAGTATAGGATACACAGGGTAGATACGAGGTATATTAATATACACTCGTACAGTGCTTCTGGGGGACTGTACAAGGTATATCAACTTACAGTGCTAACCACTGAAGGTGTATAGGATACACAGGGGGAATTGAAGCTCATGGACACATCATATGTGACATCATAGATCCATGACGCAAGATGCTCCATTTGCCCTGTGCAGGATTAGTGTGTCAAGTTTGGAAATCATGTGAAACATATCGTGATAAGAATAAAGACACACTGTGGTAACACTTGACTGACTAGTTTTGTAATTAAGTGGTACACATTTGAAACATCTCTTCTTAATGTACATACAGTAACCTGTGGTTATAACGAACTCAAAGTGACAGCTAATCTTAGTTTGTTATAACCATAGTTCGCTATAAGCATGTACAGATTACGGACGGGACAGAAAAACAACACTTCTTTATATCCATCAGTTCGTTATAATGAGTGAGTGAGTGAGTGAGTATGGCTTTATGCCGCTTTAAGCAATATTCCAGCAATATCACGGCGGGGAACACCAGAAATGGGCTTCACACATTGTACCCATGTCGGGAATCGAACCCGAGTCTTTGGCGTGACAAGCGAACGCTTTAACCACTGGGCTACCTGACTGCCTCCAGTTTGTTATAAGCGTGTTCATTATAAACATAGTCTACTGTACTTCAATGTATGTTTCTATTGTTCGCATTTCTTGTGGCGGTGAGTATATATCTGCAGTACGCCTGGAGCCTGTGACCAACCTGTGTGCCAGTCCCGAGCATGATCTGCTGGGGGATCAGGTAGATCTTGCTCTCCATGTTCACTTCCTGCCCCTTCAGGGAGATGAGCAGCACCCGGAAGTTGGTGCCTCCCAGGTCCAGTGCCAGGAACTCACCCTGCTCTGGAGACAACATTATTATTAGGCGTTGAATCATATATCCAAATGTCGATTTGCTCCAAATGTTTGCCCTATGATAGTACTATTCCGATAGGAATTTAAAATCACCGACGGTCTTGTCAATACTATGTATAACAATTGATAGTTTCAGTAGACATAATTAATTATAAATGAAACCTAATTTTTATGTGTCAGAAAACTTTTTTTTTAACGTTTTTACGAATTTCAAACCTGCTGGGTATTGAGTATAACGATTGCGACAACTTCAGATTAGAGTTACTTCCCTTTGTTTTGAGTAGCAGCAGGGAGGAAAATGGGCGACTTTGACATTGTCAGCAATACTTAATCATTTCTATTACAATGATTAACATAATTATTAAGGTTTTATACCATCGCAATACTATTGCAATAGGACGTTCTTGCTTTTTTCGGTTCCATAAAGACAGGTCCCATACAAGTCAGTAAATGTTTTATTATAAAACATAGACACAAAAGTTCAAACAGAGACACTTGACTGGCTCAAGTTTGGAGAACACCACTGTCAGTTACTCAGGTCAATGCCTGCTCTGACGTAGAGGCAATATGCGTTTCAGTCAATGACATGTGACCGCTTCTCAGTCAATGAATATGGTGGAAATCTTTGCATTATATAATACATAATCACATCATGACTCAATCACTGTCATATCCTACAGCTATGGGTGCTTATTACACTCTCTAGGTGTTTTACTATTGGTTTTACTGACTTTTATCAGAAAAATTTGGGTCAGTAGATATGTAAAAATGAAAAGAAAAGAAAAAACATTTTAGATGGGGACATCTTCATATATCGTGATATCGATATGTGGCGATAACAAATATTACTGGTGGAGTTGTATCAATGCAAATTTATGAATAACGGTAGTTTGGACAATGAGAAGGCAGAAATTTCAATCTTAATCATTTAAAGGATCATTCTTGTATATATTTGTCATTAAATAGATTAAATGCAGGTCATTTATACCTATACACACATAGAGTAATCAATTTTATTATTAATGTGATATGTCGATATATTGTTATACTCTTGAGTCAAAACATCGTTAATGATACCTCCAATTTCGAATACTTATATATTTAATTATTTATCTATTTGAATATATTTCTTGAGTGAATTGTTAGTTATTAAAGGATTCAAAATAATAAGTGTTTATTATTTTCCACTTATAATTTCTTTCAGGGCAGATGGAATTCATAAACCAATTTCCCCCAAAAAGTCTTGTTCTATCTTACTGCTTCTGCATAATTCAACTGACCTGTTCCGTCAGGCACTGATCGAACATAGGTCTGGAACATCTTGACCTTGGCGTCAGCATTGGTGTCCTTGCCCAGGCCTTGGTTGAAGCTGTGCAACATTTTGTCCATGACTGTCTCGTAGTCTTCATCTTTCAGGATCAGTGGTCTCACAACAGCCTCAACCTGCAACACAAGACACCATGAGAACAGACAAGGGATTCAGAAACTGTGAGAACAGATAAGGGATTCAAACTGATGACTGACAGAGCCTCAACCTGCAACACAATACAGTGTGAGAACAGACAAGGGATTCAAACTGATGACTGACAGAGCCTCAACCTGCAACACAATACAGTGTGAGAACAGACAAGGGATTCAGAAATTGTGAGAACAAATAAGGGATTCAAACGGATGACTGACAGAGCCTCAACCTGCAACACAATACAGTGTGAGAACAGACAAGGGATTCAAACGGATAACTGACAGAGCCTCAACCTGCAACACAATACAGTGTGAGAACAGACAAGGGATTCAAACGGATGACTGACAGAGCCTCAACCTGCAACACAATACATTGTGAGAACTGACGAGGGATTCAGAAACTGTGAAAACAGACAAGGGATTCAAACTGATGACTGACAGAGCCTCAACCTGCAACACAATACATTGTGAGAACTGACGAGGGATTCAGAAACTGTGAAAACAGACAAGGGATTCAAACTGATGACTGACAGAGCCTCAACCTGCAACACAATACATTGTGAGAACTGACGAGGGATTCAGAAACTGTGAAAACAGACAAGGGATTCAAACTGATGACTGACAGAGCCTCAACCTGCAACACAATACAGTGTGAGAACAGACAAGGGATTCAGAAATTGTGAGAACAAATAAGGGATTCAAACTGATGACTGACAGAGCCTCAACCTGCAACACAATACAGTGTGAGAACAGACAAGGGATTCAGAAATTGTGAGAACAAATAAGGGATTCAAACTGATGACTGACAGAGCCTCAACCTGCAACACAATACAGTGTGAGAACAGACAAGGGATTCAGAAATTGTGAGAACAAATAAGGGATTCAAACTGATGACTGACAGAGCCTCAACCTGCAACACAATACAGTGTGAGAACAGACAAGGGATTCAAACTGATGACTGACAGAGCCTCAACCTGCAACACAATACATTGTGAGAACTGACGAGGGAATCAGAAACTGTGAAAACAGACAAGGAATTCAAACTAATGACTGACAGTAACATAAGACAGAAGCAGAAGCAGCAGCAGGCGTATGGTGTAACCCACTACATTAGAACATCATCATCATGGATACAAAATGGAGGTGGAAAGTCTACATGTACCACTTTACAACATATTACAAATCCCAGAAAAAGTGACTGAAGTGCCACTAGCTCTGAGAATACCTGTAAGGATTGAACCTGCATCAACATCAACAGCACACAGTTCTACAATTGAACAGAATACCGGTACATCCAATGTGAGAAATCAACTTTCAAATGTCAACATTGTTCTGTAAATAACATTTTCAAAATAACTAAATATGGAAAGAACAACTTAGTAGATTTCTTTAGCAATGAAAAATTCATGTTTCCAATAAATCATTTTCAAGATGAAAATAGGGAATAATCAAGGCATGTTCCCATAATCTTAGGTTAAAAAAGATGAAGTATATCCTAGATAAGCATGCTATTATGGGCATAGCAAAAAAACTCCAGGTTCAAGAACCCTCCCAATCATTCTGTCACTCCCATAAACTCAAACCTCAGAGAAGGGTCCTAGAAACATTCCTGTTGTCATGAACAGCACCCCAGGTTAATCTGTCACGTCAATAATAATCTCAACAGGGTGAAAGCCTACTTATATGACTACTCAGATCTATATTTGCCTGTTCCTAAACATGAGCTGTATTTGTGCACGTCCCGGACTAGGGATGACTGGTAGATCCTCTAACCTTCCCCTGTGTCCTGAATCTCCACTTTTCTTGGAACAGATCCTGTATAGGATCACGCCATCAAGGATGTAACACTGTACATTTACAACGTATCATGCTTCATTTGAATTACCCAGAAATTAGAATTTTGTGTTAAATATGCTTATGGAAATACCTGTTACCATGGTTACTGGATTGTGGAATGTGTAAAACAAACTTCTTTTAACTTGGAATTCTAAAGGATGATTATAATGGTCATTTTATCAAAGAATTCAAAGAAATCTAACAACATTGAAATAATCTCATCTGTAATAAATACACTAAAACCTTCCTAATCCGGACAATAAAGCTTCCTTCTTTTAGGGTTTGTTTGTTTGTTGTTAAACGCCGCACTCAGCAATAATCCAGCTATATGACGGCGGTCTGTAAATAATCAAGTCTGGACCAGACAATCCAGCGATTGACATCATAAGCATCAATCCATGCAGTTGGGATACGATGACATGCATTAACCAAGTCAGCGAGCCTGACCCCCCGATCCCTATAGTCGCTTCTTACGACAAGCATTGTCGCTTTTTACGGCAAGAATTCGTTGCTGAAGACCTATTCCACCCCGGATCTTCACTGGTCCTTCTTTGAGAGGCATTTAGAAGTTGGAGTACAATAAGGATAAGATATATGGATGAACATGTCACACTTGCCTCGTCAACGGTGTTAAAACCTACACCGAAACATCGGGTCTGATTGTGGTTCATCATTTTTACTGTTTTTACTTAATAAAGTTTCCAGTGAGATTATCCCGACTATGAAATATCCAGATTAATGAATCATGGATACATAGTAATGTCTCTTAAACTATATTAAATTCTAAATAGTAATTATATCATATATAACATTCTAAACAGAAATTATATTATATATAACATTCTAACCTGTAATTATACCATATATCATATACAACATTCTAAACAGAAATTATATCATAAGCAGCTGCTTAGGTAAGCTATTCTGTAAGGTTATTAATGAAAGAATAATGGAACACATGGACAAAAATCAATAACAAGACCACTGTCAGTCTGGATTTAGGAAGGGCTACCAAACATCAGATAATGTATTTGTTTTTAAAACATTAATAGTTTCTACAAAAAGTAAAAAGAAAAAAACTATACACTTGCTTTGTAGATTTTCAAAAGGCCTTTGATTCAGTTGACAGACCACTACTCCTAACAAAGGTATTATCAAATAAAATCTCAGGAAACATATTTAAAATAATATCATCACTATACAGTGATATCTCTTATAAAGTGAAAACTGACAAGGGCATTTCACAATCCTTTAAATCCAACATTGGGGTACGACAAGGGTGCATTTTGTCTCCCACATTATTTAATATATTCCTCAATGACCTTCCACATTATATCAAATCTGATAGCAATAATATAACACTCAATGGTTTCAACATTTGTCATTTGTTGTTTGCCGATGATTTAGTTCTATTTGCCGATTCCCCAAAAAAGCTACAGGTGTTACTTGATGGACTAAAGGTATTTTGTGCCACAAATAACCTAAAGATTAATAGTGATAAAACAAATGTTGTAGTGTTTGGACAATCAATTAAAACAGAAGAAAAGAATACTTGGACCATAGGTGATACAAAAATACTAGTTACAGATAGTTATAACTATTTAGGAATACGTTTGAAGCAAATGGTAAACTTAAAAACAGTGCTAAACCTCTCTTGAAAAAAGGCCTAGGGGCCTACCACAAGCTACAGTCCACCATTTTTAACCAAGATATACCAATAGCTCTTGCTTGCAAACTATTTAAAACATTAATCGAGCCAGTAATTTTATATAATAGTGAAATCTGGGGTGTAGAATCAATCCTCCTGAACAACTTTGATTCATTTATCCCCGAAAAACTGCAGCTCAAATTTTGTAGATCCATATTAGGTGTCAACAAAACAACACATAACTGGGCAAGCCGAGCTGAACTAGGACTCTACCCCCTTATCTACACAGTATTAATCATTTTTATCACCATGTCTGTTCCTCCAAAAACATAATACTTCAGAACGCTTTTACAGAAAGTACATATTTGGTGAAAAAACGATTAGGATGGGTTTACCAGCTATATCTATTCTTAGGAAAACACAATTTGAGTATTTCAGCTTTCCTATCACCAATATTCAAAGAGACAATCAAATCTAAATTCAACTCCTTCTTCAAGGAATCTCTTCAAGATGTAAATACAACAAGAGGCACAGGAAACAAACTTAGGACATATAGGATAGTTAAAAATGAAATAAAATTAGAACCCTATCTCAGTCACTGTAAAGTAAAAAAATATCGAGTTCACTTTTCTAAACTAAGATTAAGTAACCATAAATTAAATATTGAACTTGGAAGACACACAAAGCCACCAACCCCACTACATCAGAGGCTATGCTCTACATGTTCAATCATTGATAACGAAAAACATTACTTACTTCACTGTATTAAACACACTCGAGAAAGAAATATACTCTTTGAAAAATTATCCAGACAAAATGTAAATGTAAATGTCCACAGTCATGAAGACAAATTATTTCAATACATCCTGTCAAATAATGAAGCAGTCAATATCAACTGCATTTGTTTCCACATCTATAATTTCAAACAATAAATACCCCTTCATAATCAACCATTGACATTTTATGTATAAAAATATGTAATATTGATTATTTTGTTTTTGTATGTGTCTACAGGAATGTAAATTATGTATGTCTGTATATATGTATATATAAATCATAATGTCTTGTCTTTTAAAATTGCATCTGTCCCGTAATGGAACGTTTCTGCAATAAATATTATCTATCTATCTTATCTATCTATATAATATTCTAACCTGTAATTATACCATATATCATATATAACATTCTAAATCGTAATTATATCATATATAACATTCTAAACAGTAATTATACCATATATCATATATAACATTCTAAATAGTAATTATATCATATATAACATTCTAAACAGTAATTATACCATATATCATATATAACATTCTAAATAGTAATTATATTATATATAACATTCTAAACAGTAATTATATCATATATCATATATAACATTCTAAATAGTAATTATATCATATATAACATTCTAAATAGTAATTATATCATATATAATATTCTAACCAGCAACAACAACCTAACAGCAAGTGTGAGAAGACATTAAGCATAT